GAGAGAGAGAGAGAGAGAGAGAGAGAGAGAGAGAGAGAGAACTGAATGAATGTGCCCTCGACTTTGGAGATTCGTTGCGGCGCACGGCATGTGCGGGGAACGACCCGTCACCCCCCTCCGAAAAAAAAGAAGAAGGTCGGGGGTCGAAACGGTGTGTTTGAGACCCCCCACCAAAATTATAAGCGGGATGGATTTTTTTTTTTGCAGGAGTGCTGCCTCACCTTGCTCCTCCTCCCCTTCCTCCTCCTCCACGTCTCCTCCTCCTTTCTCCTTTTCGTTTACTCCTTTTCGTCCTCCTCCTGCCCTCCATGTCTCCTCCTCCTGTTTGTCCTCCTCCTGTCCTTCCTCATTCTCCTTGTCTCCTCCTCCTCCTCCTCGTGCTTCGCCATCTTCCATGCCTCCTCGTCTCCTTACCTTCCTCATGTCCTCCCCTTCTTCTCCGTACATGTCTCCTCCTCCTCCCACTCGTCCTCCTCCCGCCCTTCCTCTTTCCTTCTGTCCATCTCTTCTCCTCCCCCATATCTGCTCCTCCTCCTCGTAGTTGTCCTCGCTATTCTCGTCGTCCTCCTCGGCCACATCCTCCTCCTCTCCATGTCCCCCTCTACTCGCCATATCCCCAGCTTCCTGTCATATGCCCCCCCCCAATCCCCCCTCCCAAAAAAATAAATAAATAATAATAATAAAAAAAAACCTGCGCGATTCTGCATAGGCACCCCCAGCACGGAACTCCGCATGAATGTGCGGCTCGTGCGGTTGCAAGTATGATCTATCATCATCAATCTTTATTTTTTTCAGTTTTCGTGGTTTTGGTTCTTGCCTTGTCCGTTGGTTATTGCCGTTTCCCTGCCTTATGTGCTGGTGTGTTGTCTGCCCTCCCGCCTCCCCAGTGCCCTCCAACCTATGTGTTGTCTTTTTTTTTGGTCCTTGCCTTGTCCACTGGTTGTTGTCGTTTCCCTGCCTTATGTGCGCGCGTGTGTTGTCTGCCCTCCCGCCTCCCCCGTGCCCTCCAACTTATGTGTTGTCGCCCCCGTGTGCCCTCCAGTCTGCTGTGCCTTGTCATCCAACAGTACATTACCTCCCTGCCCCTCGACTTTGTTGTCGTACCGTTGCGACCGTTTCTGTGTTTGTTTGTGATGTACTGTTGTGTGCGTACTGGGTCATACCACAGCTGTAATCGAGGCAATTATGCTCCGGTATGGATTTTTCCCACCTTCCGCAGATGGATGCATCTGTCCCACGCCTACAAGTAAGCACTATGCACACTTGACGTCTTGGCCACGCCCTGTCAAGTTTGCACGAGTTGCGTCGTTGGTAGGGTACATTACGCCTGCTATGAGTAACCACGGTGTGCCTACGCTTTCAGCGTTAGAGAATTTGCCTGGCATAGTGTTCGTGCCAAGGTGTGCCTGCGCGCACACACCCTCAAAACACACACACACACACACTCTCACGCGCGCGTTCACACACACACACACACACAAAAAGAGAGAGAGAGGGAGAGAGAGAGAGAGAGAGAGAGAGA